TGAATACAGTTGTCAAAACTCAGACTGTACATAAAATTGGATGCATTTTGTGTTGTATACAAGTTGTACCTCAAATCTGGTTTGTTTTCTTTTAAGTAAAAGAAACTGAAAACTCTAAAAACAGAATTTAGGCCACTTTGGATCACAGCTAGAAAAATGTGTGAACTTCACTTCTTAGGGATTTTAACTGTTCTAAATGATTATTGACTACAGAGGAGTAGCAGAATATCATTCCCTGCAATCTTGCTCACTTTCCACATTGTGATTATGAGGGGAGAGGGCATCAAAGTAGGAGGGAAACTGTGATTGAAACAGCTTGGATCAGATATCATCTTGTCACCACCATCATGCATCCCAGTCCAGTCGGCTGCTGAGTTCTCTTGTAACTGGCTGAGAAGAGAGCATGCTATGTGAAGTCTGATGCACTTTTTGAAACCGTGTCGTATTAGTGAAAGAGGACTGAAATGCTAATGTTTCGTGGACCAGTTCTTTGGTTGAAAAACAGTTGAAAATATAAGAAAATAACAGTAAACTTAAGTGAGAGACACTTGGCTGTTGTAAATAGACTTGATAAAGCAGGCAAATACTATGGCGCATGTAGCCATAGTATTTGAATTAGAGCAAGGTTTTTGAATATTATTTCTCATGATACTGTTGCACATATGATCAAGAGATGCAACATGCGTGGAGAATTCGCCTAGATTCAGAACTATATAATGATCATACCTGAGACTACTAAGCTAGAAGGAGATTTTCGTTTCATTTCTTTCTTGACCGTGACTAGCACATTTACAGAGAACTTAGATGGGGGCTTCATTAACACACTGGTCTTTTAAAACTTATTTTTTAGTGAGAACTAAAATTTTAATAAGCTGGAATTATAGGCCATGTCTACAGAATACAACATCCAGTTCCAAAAAAGAGAGAGATACATACCAGTCTAGGATGGGGAAACTGTTTTGTAGGAGCAGCGCAGGAACAGCTGCTCTGTAGGGTTGTAACTGAAAGTAATTTTAATAGGAGTCAGTACAGTGACTCTGGCTGCCATAATAATCACAATAATAGCTGATAAAATGTTTTTAATCCACCATAAGGAAGGTGAAGGTGAATCTGATTTTTGTTTTGTTTTAGATTCCACATATAAGTGTGATCACGTGGTATTTGTATTTCTCTGACTTATTTGATGATGCGTAATGCTCTCGGGGTCCATACATGTTGTTGCCAGTAGTAGGATATCCTTTTTTGTGGCCGCCTAATATTTGTGTGTGTGAGTGACATTTTCTTTATCATTCGTGGGCACTATTATTCTTAATAATACTGCAGTAAACATGAGGATGCAGATGTCTCTTTAAGATCCTGATTTAAGTTCTTTTGGATATACATCCAGAAGTGGGATTGCTGGATCATATGATAATCCTGTTTTTAAGTTTTTTGAGGAACTTACACACTGTTTTCCATAGTGGCTGCACCAATTGTGTTCCCTTCATCAGTGCACAGGAGTTCCTGTTTTTCTACTTTCTTGCCACCGCTTGCTGTTTCTTGTCTTTTTGGTAATAGCCATGCTAACAGATGTGGGGCGATATCTCATCGTGGTTGTGATTTGCATTACTCCGATACATAGAGATGCTGGACACCTTTTGGCCATCCGTATGTGTTCTTTGGGAAAATGTCTGTGTTGTAATCAGATTGTTTGGGTGTTTTTGCTAGTGAGTTGTACATGTTCTTTGTATTTTGGGGATATGTCCTTATTAGATATATGATTTGCAAATATTTTCTCCATTTGGTAGGTTGCCTTTTCATTTTGTTGGTAGTTTGTGTCCTTTGCTGTGCAGAAGCTTTTAAAGTTCTGTGTAGTCCCACTTATTTTTGCTTTTGTTACCTTTGCTTTTGGTATCAAATCCAAAAAAATGACTACCAAGAGCTTGCTAGCTGTGTTTTTTTCCTAGGAGTTTCATGGTTTCAGGTTTTACGTTCAAGGAGAAAATGAAGATGAGAGTCACTCTAGTTTATGTTCATCAGATCAAATCTTAGAGTATTGTATTTACTCTTGGGGCATCATATTAAACTATAAAAAGAATGTTAGAAAACTGATTCTTGGATAATAACTTAAAAGAAGTGGAAGAACAAATTTTACTAGACGATTGCCCAGCTTTCGGATTAAATGATTCTGTATGTGGATACTTCTTTTTTCAAGGAAAGAAACTCCTAAGAGAAGCCTTTCGAAAGGATATGATATTCATTTGGTTTATAGAATGCTTTTTCTTTCCTGCTGCTTTTATAAACCTGTAAGGTTCTCTTTAACATCTTAGAAAAGTTAAGAAGGACCTCCAGTTTAATTCCCCTAAATAATAGATACACTTCTGTGTCATCTGTAGTAAAGTTAATTTCTTCTTGTTCCCTTCCCTACCCTCAACCAGTTATTTTTCCTTTGTCAGCTTTCATTATAACTGATTGGTGCTTAGAAAATGATGTTTTAGGGGCTCCTGGGTGGCTCAGTGGGTTAAGCCTCTGCCTTCAGCTCAGGTCATGATCTCAGGATCCTGGGATCGAGCCCCGCATCGGGCTCTCTGCTCAGCAGGGAGCCTGCTTCCCCCTCTCTCTATGCCTGCCTCTCTGCCTACTTGTGATCTCTGTCTGTCAAATAAATAAATAAAATCTTTAAAAAAAGAAAATGATGTTTTAGTGTCAGCCTTTATAGAATTATGTAGGGTAGTAATTACGCTGGAACATTATATTATGTACAGATATGGGGTATGATACTCATTCCATTCTCCCATCTAGGGAATTTAAGTACCTTTTCTTTCCAACCATCCATTATATAGATCTGGATTTCTGCTTTTTCACAGCTTTTCTTGCAGAGGTGTTACAAAAAGAGAATTAAGTGAAATAAAAGAAAAGTAGTTTATAAACAATAAAGGATTACACAAGAATAAGGTGGTGCTGTTCCAAGTTACAGCTATATACAACTTTAGTCTGTAATAGATTTATGCTGTCCAGCTTCTACTAAAGTTATATCACTAGCTCAGTAATCATATCTTGCTAATTATCTAGTATTTTCCTGGTCAGAACATTTTTCTCCTCAACCCTCTAGTTAATTGCTATCTACCTTACTCTTTTCTCCTCAACCCTCTAGTTAATTGCTATCTACCTTACTCTTGGCTATATTTCTTTGTATCAGATTTGCTGAAAAGATTGACACCATCAAGAACACCTTTATCTTCCCTTATTACTTCATCATGCCTCAACATATTCATATCTACCACCCATTTGTTGCTGTTTTTAATTTCATAGGAGACAGAATCTCTATTCAAAGACCAACACCTGTTCCATGCACTAAAGACCAGATCTCTGACCAAAGCACTGAGCTCCACCACTGAATACCGGGACCACTTGTTCCCCTTTCTTTCTAATGGAGATCGGGACAAGGTCTCCCCATCTTGAAAAAGCTTGTGATTGAGGCCCCGGTTTCTCTGTCTGTGCCATTCTGTGTCACTACAGAACTTTTTAAGCAAATGAAACCTATAACTGATACCATATTTTCTTCCAACTTCGGAGAGACCATGTGATGTAGTATGGGACAAGACTGGACTTAAGAAGTCATGACAACAGTGGTAAATGCTGTGGAGGACATAAACAGTGATGTAGGAGAGTAATTGGAGGAGAAAGGGTTCCTTTGTATCAATAGTCATTTGAAATGAAATTTTATCTGAGAAGAAAGTTTTAAAACCTTGATCTTTGGGAGAATGGGAACTTTACATGAAGATGAGAAAGCATAAATAAAGCTTAATTATTATGATTCTTCAATTTTTAAGTGTTCATTACATAATTTTGATTATATACCATTTGAACTTTAAAGTGTCATTTTAAAGCAAAATTTATTTCCTAATGGTCATTGTCAAATTTTAGATGTCTCATATATCTGTCCTTTCCAGTATTAAATGAAGAAAAATTACTTTGACTAGGATATTATATGCATTTCATTGTAGTTGATTTAGCAGACATGTTGAATACTTAACCACATGCCAGGCACTGTGCTAGGTGGAGATTAAACAAAAAACTAGGCACAGCTCTTACCCTTAGTGAACTCAACTAAAGCAGTTTTTAGGGATAACATATATAATTTAAACTTATCATTGACTTTAAGATAGATCACTCTGGACATTATGTAATGTAGCAGGTTTGCTCCTCACTATTTCTGTTCGCTTGTTTTGAAAATTTATATTACTCTGCATTATTTAATTTTCTCTTATTCTACTCTCTTTTTAGACTAACTAACAACAGAGTTATTTACTGTGGCCATTAGTAACTAATTGTAAGACTAATTGAATGATTACCATGTGTGGTAAAAGCTCCTCCATATTTTTAAGAAGTTATTTTAAGAATGTATAATTACTACCTTTAAAATTATCAATCAGATTTTCATATTCTAGTGGAGTCTATGTTCTGAAAAGAAAATGAACCATAGAGGGGAAAAATACATGAGTCAAGCTGATTAAAAATTACGATATAACTCAACAGTGAAAGATCACTTTCAGTTGAGTTAGTCATGGCAAAGCTTCATCCAGGAGTTAGAATGTGTGTTCAGTCTTAAAGGATAGATGTGAATAGGTGGGGAATAGCATGAAAGCTGATTTGGGGTTGGGGTTGGGAGGGGAGCATTGATCGCAGAGGTGGGATTAAATATCAAGGTATATTTAAAGAACGTGGATAAATGGGCTTGACGGGAGTGAAAGGTTTGTATTGGTAAATAGTAAGAGATAAAGCAAAGTCTTTTAGTAGAGCACAAGGTTTGGGCTGTACCATAAGAGTAATATGTTCCTATAACCCTAAATTCATATATAATTTAAGATTTCTTATGTAAAGGGGTTATCACAATGTACAGTTTGCAATTGTGTCATGATTTTGATTAAGTCTTTATTTACACCCCTAAATATGTTCTATAGATTTTGAGGCCAGAGTCTTTACCCCTACTCAGGTTAAAATGATGTTTTGTTTTTCAGTTACTTACACGCCAAGTCAATCATCCACAGAGACCTCAAGAGTAATAGTATCCTTCCTGAAATTTGTCTGCGAAGTTTGAAAACATCCTGACTTTTTCTTCTGCATTTTGTCTTCACATTATGTAAAAACAGTTTTCATGCTAAGTTCAATATAATGTAAAGGGAATTAATGAGCGGGTTTGCATGAGAGCATAGTAAAGCAGGGTACTACAACATGCTTTTGGTTTCTGAACATTGGAGCATTACCAAAAATTCTGCCAAATCTTTCTAATAGTAGAACTCTTAGGATTGTGTGCTTACATTCCGTCAGCACCAACTCGTTTCTTTCAGTGCTCTGATGCTGCTCTGCGGTAGTTGAGATGTACCTGAAGGTTCTTACTTACAATGAGGTGAGAAAACCATAATGTTTCTTCTTCTTCCATAAACCCAGATCAAGACCCTGTCTGCCAACTGACTTCATTCCAGTGAAGAACCTTTGTAGCTTTCCCAGCAGTGCCAAAAGCGTATCTGGGTCTATGCTACTAAAATCTAGTGGGAAAGTTTCAGGGTTTCCCATAAATGTAGGTAGGAAAGCATCTCACCTCATCCTACCACATTTCTAGCCCTAAAAATCTTAAAAGCAGGTCACATAGGCCAAATAGAACCATATTTTTAAAAATGTATTCATTAACTTTAGAAGGAAATATGAAGTACTGTACTTTTTAAAGGAGTATCAGTTTTACCAAAAAAAAGAAAATCGTATTACAGAATTCCAGAAATTAGATCACTTACCTAAAATTTTTATAATGCTTGCTTTGCTAGGAAAATGAGATCTATTGTTTTCCTTTACTTACTACCCCTCAGATATTTTTCTTCATGAAGACCTCACAGTAAAAATAGGTGATTTTGGTCTAGCCACAGTGAAATCTCGATGGAGTGGGTCCCATCAGTTTGAACAGTTGTCTGGATCCATTTTGTGGATGGTAAGAATTGAGGCTATTTCTCCATTAATTAAATTTTTGGACCCTGAGATGCTGCTGAGTTACCAGAAGATTTTGAAGGTTTCAACTGTAGTATTTTCATAATTCCCAGTATTCACAAAAATCAATGTTGATCTTATTTTTTATGTAAATATATTTTAATTTTTTCTTTATCTTTAAAAAGAGTATTATGAAACCAACTTCATTATATCTCAAACAAGAAAATATGTATTTTATAAACACTGTTTAAATTTTATCCAGAATTGTCTCCTTAAAATATTTTATGTTCAAAATATTCTATGTACCGTTTCCAAAATAAAAAAACGAGTGTGCGATTTCAGCAGGTATGATCTGCAGCAATAATTAAGGTTTTTACTAAGAGAACTACTCCTTTTAAGAGAGAGGTGGTTTCACAATCTTATTTAAGCCTCAATTGGAAAGTTACTTCCTTTAGACTAGAAAGAACCTATAATTATGGGGCAGCTGGGAGAGGAAAGACCAAAAAAAAAAAAAAAAAAATTTTTAGCACCGTCAGCCATGTACTGCCCTGCATAGCTCTTTCTTTTTCTTTATTCCTGTTTCTGCTGTGTGGAAAAGAAGGGAATGAAGATGTCTGTGCAGTTACTTTCAGCAGGCTGTGAAAAGGGCAGGTATAGGAATCACCCTCTAAGACAGCAGTTCTCAAAAGGGGCCCTTAGACCCTTTTGGAGGTCCCCAAGGTGATCTCTGTGTGAGACCAGATGTTTCTTCATATTCTTCAACTAGAATGACGTATTACAACAGATGGAACGCAGAAGCAAATACGTGACCATAACTGGCTGCTGTTAAACCAAAGAGAATTGCAGTAGTATTGTTCTCTCTGAACTTTTTTTAGTTTTGAAAACATACTTTTCATTAAAAATGGGTGATGTGTGTTAACATCTAATGGCTGTTGTTTTATTATTTATGAAATTACTAAATATTTTAACAGTTTCCCACTTAAGTTTAAATGTGTTAAATACCCATAGATATCATCCACATAAAAGTTCCTTAGGGTCCTCAGTAATTTTCAAGACTAAAAGAGTTCTGAGACCAAAAAGTTTGCGAACTGCTGCGCTTAGTTAAATATAGAATGTCCCCCAAAGTTGAAACTTTAAATGATTGAATCTGGAAACAGGGAAGCTGCAAGGGCTCTTGAAGCCATGTTTGCATAAATTCCCTGAATCTGTAGCAGTCTCCAAGAGGGGAATTGCAAGATAGACATCTGAACTAGTCAAGTAAAACATAGGGTTAAATTCAGCTATGATTTCTTGTAATAATAAATGGAGTGTAATGCCCAGTGCTTATCACATTATGTGCCCTCCTTAATGCCCATTACCCAGCTTGATGAATCATTGAATAGTATATCAAAAACCAACGATGTTCTGTACCTTGGCTAATTGAGTTTAAATTTAAAAAAAACTTAACTGGAGTGAAGACAAGTAACAAGGTGGAAGGGGTACATTGGACTTAGAGTTAGGAGATCTGTACTCTAGTGCTATGTTTGACTCTCAACCTGTGCATTTTTTAACCTCCTCCACGTCTCTCCATCTTTAATGTTGGTTAGACTAGTGGATTTCTAATGCCTTTTTTGTTTCTAAGATTCAGTAATTAGAACTAGCTAGATTTGTTTCTTTAATAAGTTTTAATTGTTTTAGTAAATCATTTTATAAACAAGAGGCTAATTAATCGTTGTAGTCTGGATCTCATGCACCTTTAAGGCACACATCTTGTTACAAGATAGCAGTGTATCACAGGAAGGGCCAGACTGGCAAAGTTTAAGTACTGAAATTGTAAAATCTAAAATTAAGAAGAAACAATTGATACATGTTTTAAAGTGTGTTTATTTTAACTAGTGTGGGAGAGAGGTTCAGTTAAGTCTCCAGATTTGTCCTTTTTCAAAAAACTTAGTTTATATAGTTAGCAGATTATTATACATAAAGTTGTGTATTTTCTTCTGATTTCTATTTTGTGGATACCTAGGTCAATTGGTTCATCCTTTATTCAAGCAAGCTGAGCTTTAATACAAGAGATTAACCGGTAGTACACTTAACTGTTGGGTTGTACACTCAACTTTTGGGTTGATACTGCCTTCAAAACCAAATATGGAGCATCCGTAGACTAGTAAAGAGCAGTTTGGTCAGAACTAAGGTTATGTAATTATCTGAATTCTTCTCAACCTTTTTTTATCTACCTTAGAGGGGAAAGAAATCTTTATGAAAATTTTGACAAATTAAATCACTAAATTAATTGAGGATCAGTCATGCATTTCTTATAAATAGATGACATGCAACTTTTCATCAAGCCATCTACCAACAACAGTAGAGGTAAAACTAAATTTTAAAAAGCCGTTTAGTTCTTTTTATTTATTAAATTTCATTTATTACTCTGTTCCTCTCAAAACTGTGTTCTGGCTTTTAAAATTATGCCTGTATCATAACCAGCCTCTCAGTATTCTAACTTGTTCATCACATCACAGTTGTATGTGGCTTATTTTGTACCTTATTACTAAAAGCAGTCAGCAATAAAATGTTTGACAAAAGTAGACAGTCTTCTCCTTCACCCCCCCGTTCTTCATCAGGATCTCCCACGCATCTTCTGTCAGTGGTTCTCAACCTCAGTTGGACATTAAAATCATCTGGGAGCTATAAAAATAAGCAGTGCTTGGATCCCAACAACAGATGTAATGTTGTTATGTTATTGGGCTGGAATGTAGTCTGGACACTGAGAGGTTAAGGAGCACGCAGGTGTTTGTGATTTGCAGGTGAGGCTGAGCGCCATTGCCTGCCTCGTGAGATAGTCTGACCAGTGACCAGGAATCTTGTCCCATGTCCGCTAGCCATTTATGCAGTTAATTCAAGCTTAAGTATCAGGGCTTTCACAGAGCTTTTACTTACACTCTGCAATTTCTCTAGTGAAACAGTTCTTCCAAATGGAACAGTATAGAAGATGCAAGGTGAAAGAACTCTTTTAAGTTTATATTTAGCCAACCATTTAATAAGAAATTAAGCAGTAGAGTACAGTGAGTAAAATGTGCAAAAAATGTAGCAAATATGATTTGATCTTTATCTTTGCCCAAGAAGCAAGAGGCCAGGATCTTTATACCAACTTCTAAATCGACCTCCTGTCTCTCGCTTTCGTTAATAAAGCGTTCGTGTTGATAATGCTTTTGGAACGAGGAAAGAGGTTTGAGTTTGTCAGTCTTAAAGGTGCCCTGAGACGAGAACCATTGTACCAATGGGAAAACTTAAATTCTGAGACTGCCAGTGTAGTGGTAGTGCTACTCCCAAACCCATTAGGACCACAGTTCGGTATTTCTTTACTGAATCAGGAATGGGAAACAGGAACTGATTCTTGACAGGGCTAGTCCTGGGACAGATTCAGATAGCAATTTTTGTGCAGTATTTTGCACAATATTTTGTGACAGTGTTTTATGCAGAAGGAGGATGGCCGATAAAATTATAAAGTCTTAGTAATTCATATGGAATCTCAGGTAATACTGCCTCTTGCACAGCTCACTGAGCATCTTTTTTCTTAATCATTTTTATTTCTTTGCCCATTAATAAGAGAATGGGCTGCATATTAGATGGATTATCTAATGACAAAAGCATTGTTCTGGGAATTGCAATAATTTGCTTTTCAGTCTTTTTAGTTGAAGAATAAACAAGAATATTTTTCTTCTTGTGTTCTAACAGGCGCCAGAAGTGATCCGAATGCAAGATAAAAACCCATATAGCTTTCAGTCAGATGTCTATGCATTTGGGATTGTTCTATATGAATTGATGACCGGACAGTTACCTTATTCAAACATCAACAACAGGGACCAGGTAAACATTTACGGTCTCGTGGGGTTTATTTTACTGTTTGTATAAAGACTGTACTTTGTTTTAGAAGTGTTGAATCCTGAGTGGACATGAAGGATGGTTATCTTGATCTTTGTTGCATTCGTGGAAACCTTTGGTGGACTGTTGGCAGTGACAGCATGTAAGGCCTTCCTTGAAATGTCAGTGCCAAGTGTGGTCACAGAGTGCAGCTCCTGATGTTCTGACTAGAGACTAGAGCTGCCACCGTGGAGATCGCTCACATCTCTTGACCACACAAACCAGAAGGAAGGGCTCTGCTGCGGCGGCGTCTGGGCTTTGTGCCTTCTGTTGGTCGTGCTGAGCAGGCACTCGGCTGTGCACTTCTTTGTAGCCAGTTCTTTTGAAATTAGTGAGGTTTCTCCTTTTTTGAAAGACTAATGTATCATGCTTTCATTTTTCTATAATGAGGATTCTAATAGGAGGGAATTATTTTTACTTCTTTCTTCCTAAGTTCCTGTTCTCTGTCCTTCCCCAAAGTCCTGAACAGAACCTCATACAGCTCTTTGCCTTTTCCATCCCAGCCACATTTGATTCACCAGGACTTTAACACTGACCAAGAAAAAGGAATTGTCTTTACTGATGTTTTTACATTGTACACGTTAGGATTTAAAAAGTGTGTGCGTGTGTGTGTGTGTGTGTGTGTGTGTAGAGAGATTGAAGCAATTCCACTGTTAATATATTAGAAAACAATGATTGACGACATAAACTGTGGTTAAATAATATTTATATTTTATGCTGTGGGTTGCGTCAGAGTTACGTGGGTAATTTGTTTAAAAATAGAGATACTGGGGCGCCTGGGTGGATCAGTCTGTTAAACATCTGACCGTTGATTTCGGCTCAGGTCATGATCTCAGGATCACGAGATGGAGCCCCACACAGGGCTCCACACTGAGCATGGAATCTGCTTGGGATTCTCTCTCTCCCTTTCCATTTGTCCCCCCCAACCCCCGTCACCATCTTCCCCCTTCCAAGGGTTTGCTCACGTGCATGTGCTGCTCTCCCTCTCTCTCTCTTTCTCTCCCTCTTTCAGAAAAAAAAAAATAAAAATGGAGATCCTGGAGCAGATTCTAATTCTATGGAGTAGGATCAGAGTACTTAACATTTTTAATAAGTTTCCCAGGTGATTTTGATATATACCAAAGTTGAGAATCACCAATTCAAAAAAAATTTTTTAAAAAGTGAATTTTTAAAAATATTTTAGTTATTTGACAGAGAGCAAGCACAAGCAAGGGGAGCAGTAGGGTGAGGGAGAAGGAGAAGCAGGCTCCTCACTGAGCAGGGATCCCAGTGTGGGGCTTGATCCCAGGACCCTGGGATTATGACCTGGGCTGAAGGCAGACACTTAACCAGCTGAGCCACCCAGGCACCCCAAAAGTGTGAATGTTTTATGTGTTTTGTCATAACCTCCTAATCTAATGAAATGATGGTTTTTAATGTATAAATGTGTTACTTCATTTAAGTAGTGTATGTATTTTGGTCATCAGCTCAACTCTCTTATCTTTTTGGCAATAGCTCTGAGTATCTTCCTTAACAAAGAACTTCAATTATCGTGTAGTTTCAGAGAAGTAGTCTCAGTTGTCACGTACTTTGTGTGTATTTACTGAATCACCATATGGCCTCTTACCCAGAGGGTCCTGATTTTATAGTTCAAGAATTTTTAAATTTTTTTTTAAAGATTTTATTTATTTATTTGACAGAGAGAGAAAGCAAGAGCGGGAACACAAGCAGGGGGAGTGGGAGAGGGAGAAGCAGGCTTCCCATTGAGCAGGGAGCCCAATGTGGGGCTTGATGCCAGGACTCTGGGATTATGACCTGAGCCAAAAGCAGACACTTAACGACTGAGCCACCCAGGCGCCTCTCAAGAATTTTTTTTAAATGACTATGTTCCGGGGCACCTGGGTGGGTCAGTTGGTTAAGCATCTGACTTTGGCTCAGGTTATGATCCCAGGGTCCTGGAATCAAGCCCAGCGTTCTCCTAGCTCAGAGGGGAGCTTGCTTCTCCCCCTCCTCCCAGCTCTCTGTCACTATCTCTGTCTCTTTCTCTCAAATAAATGAATAAAATCTTAAAAAAAATAATAAACAAATAACTGTTTCTACCCAAGTCAGCACAAAGCTAATTGTTTAGTTTCTGTTTGGTCTTTCTAACCACTACATAACTTTAGAATGTTAAATCCTACTTTATAATGTGGAATCCTACTTTTGAATGTTAAAAAAATCTGTGACCTGGTTCCTAATTACCTGGTATTTTAAACCTACATGAAACTTAGATTCAAGATAGACCAAACTGCTACTAGCTAAGGAACATAATGGAAACCTTGCACCTATTGGACTTGTGACATCCTAGGTAACTGAGATGATTGATTTGGTGACGGCAGTCTGAATAGCAATGTTTTTTTTTTTTTTTTTTTTTTTTAATTTATTATTGTTTTTTTTTTAATATTGTATTTATTTATTTGACAGACAGAGATTACAAGTAGGGAGAGAGCCTGGCAGAGAGAGAGGGGGAAGCAGGCTCCCTGCTGAACAGAGAGCCCGATGCGGGGCTCGATCCCAGGACCCTGGGATCATGACCTCAGCAGAAGGCAGAGGCTTTAACCCACTGAGCCACCCAGGCGCCCCAGTAAGGTTGTTTCTAATTTGCAAGTTTCCTGTGCTCTGCCTTTTATAGTCTAATTAACTCAACCATATAACATCATACCCTGTGCCATGTTTACTTTTCTTTTGCATATTACTTCTTTTTTTTTTTTTTTAAGATTTATTTATTTATTTTTAGAGAGAGCAAGAGCGTGAATAGGAAAGGAAGGGCAGAGGGGGAGGAAGAGAGAGACTCAAGCAGACTCCCTGCTCACCACAGAGCCTGATTCGGGGCTCAGTCCCACGACCCTGAGATCGTGCCCTGAGCCGAAATGAAGTTGGACACTTAACCGACTGAGCCACCCAGGCACCCTGCATATTACTTTTCTATAGGAATCTAGGGAATTCTAGTTTAGTTTTAGTTGATTTATTATAGAGACTACAAATAAAATTTTATGAATCTAAGATCTGGATGAAATCCAGTGAATACGTTTGTTTTAATGAAATAAAATTATATTATGGAAACAGATATTATTTCCAAAATGTGGATAAAAGCATCCTAGGGTTCTATGCTCATCCGCGTCTTGGCATTTTAAGTGCTTTTGTCTTCCATGGGAATATGATAAATGATGTGGCAAGAGCTTACTCTCCATGAGAAAAGTGAGTGAGTGTCCAACAGAAGGGTAAGGCCTTTACTAGTTAATTCTTTCTGGTAATACAGGTAGAGCCTTCTGGAATTTGCCAGTCTGAAGCCACGTTGAGTGTTTGATGAAGAAAAAAGAGGTAGAAGAATGATACACTCTTCCCATCACCTCCAGTCTACTTCATTTCTTCTTAGTCTGCTTTCCTCAAATGGCGCTTTCCATGGGACTTCCTCTTGGGAATCAGTACCTCTTCAGTGAAGTAATCCCAAGCTTTGCTTCATCTATTCCCCTTGATTTGATTCTTCTCTTTCTTTTACTATGATCTCTGTGGCTCTCAGATTGGACTTCTTTGTGAAAATTTAGGAATATTCTTTTTCATAGGGGATAGGACAACTGTGTCTTTACTTTGCAATGTAGGAGCCATTCCTGTACTCGCTCCCCCCACCGTAGTCTGAGATGGCAGCTTTTCCCAGCAAATTTAAAGGACTCTGATTAAGCAGCCCGATATAAAGAATGACTTTGGACTACTCATGACCTGCATGACCTGGTCACTTTACCTCTTCTGGTGTCTTTTTTTTAATAAAAATAAGAAATTCAACTAAAGAATTCCTTATCGTTATAAAAATCAGATTCTTTCCTAAAGCACGTCTCTTAGCTCCCCGGGGGATCGCCATCCCTATGTTACTTTGCAGAATAGTATTGGCTTTTGTTTTCCTTAATCTAGTGCTGAAGTCTGAGAAACTGCTGTCATTTTTTCCCCTCTTGATCCTTCTGTTTCACTCTCTGATCACACTAATCACACTCTTCAGTGCAGCTTCCCTAAGTTGGGATTAGTGATGCACTCATTTGAGCTAGGTGTATTGACACTCTGTCCTCTTTCTTTCTTGGAGCAGAAGTGCTCTGTCATCTTAGAAAAAACTAACATAACTTCTGTCTTATTTTAAGTATATTTCAGTTACTGTTACTGTATAATAAACCACCCAAAATGTAGTGGCTGTAGCAAATTATGAATCTGCAGGTTGGGCTGCCGTCAGTAAGGAAGGTTTATTTCTGTGTCACATGGTATCGCCTAGGGTACATTTGTCGGGTGTTAAAGGATCCACTTCCAAAATGACTCATTCACACATCCTACAAGGTGTCATGCTAGCTGTCCACTGGAAGCTCAGTCAGGGCCAAGGGCTGGGGGCCTCAATTCTTCCCCACCTGGGCCTTTCTGTCGGGGGTACTTTGTAGAAAGCATGGACTTGGTACAGCCTGGTTGCTAGGTTCTTTTTTTTTTTATTCCCCGCCCCCCCGGTGGCTGGGTTCTAAGCATAAGACCTCAGGAAACAAGAGATAGGAAATGGTAAGTGTCTTATCAACACACAACTTATTTTAATAAAAAATTTTCAGGGGCGCCTGGGTGACTCAGGCATTAATCATCTGCCTTCGGCTCAGGTCATAATCCCAGGGTCCTGGGATCCAGCCCCATATCGGGCTCCCTGCTCACTGGGAGGCTTGCTTCTCCCTCTCCCACTTGTGTACCCCCTGCTTGTGTTCCCTCTCTTGTTGTCTCTCTCTTTCAAATAAATAAATAAAATCTTTAAAAAAATAAAAAAAAAACTTTTCAAAACTACTGTATAGGAAGCACTGTGGGATACAGAGGGATACAAAGATGAATAAAGCACAGGCCGTGCTGTTAGTTGTTAGTCTGCTGAGGCGGCGCAGGGGGATGAGCAGACGCTGCTCCAGTCACACAGAGGAGGGAATGAAGGGGCGGAGATGCCGGGAGGGCTGAGTGTGGTTTGAGAAGGAAGGTAATCAGTCCCAGAATTTCAAGTGGAACTACTGATTTTATTGTGTCTGTGACACTTAAATCTTCTGTACATGAATTATCCAGGTAAGTCTTCCCTTCAAGTTTAAATAATTGCAAAGAATGTGATTTCCTTTGTATTATATTAACATTTCAAAATAAAACCATTATATCCTTTTCAGTGTATCCAGTGAAATCTAAAAGCCATTCTGACTTGATACGTACCATCACTTGCTTAAAAAATAGATTCATTAATTTTTGGAAGTTTTTCTCTTTGAAGAAACATTTTTAACATTTTTTTATGCTTTCAAGGCTTTTTCTTATTGGCCATTCAAGTCACATCTTTGCAACAAAAATATGTATTTACATTTAGAATTTGAAAAAATCTTTTCCTGTGACTCTAGTCTTTGAATATTAATTTTTAAAATTCTGAATTACACTGCTGTTAATAATTATTAACATATAACTGATAAAAATGTAAGTGTTGGTATATAGAAACATAGAAGGAAAATTTTACTGGAAATGTGTGTCTTAACGAACAGGGCTTTTCTTTTCAGTTCATTCATACATTTGTGGATAAGTAGGCTTTTGCTAAATGAGGTAGGACTTAGCATCAATTCCTTTCTTTGTTTTTTTTTTTTTTTAAGATTTTATTTATTTATTTGTCAGAGAGAGAGAAGGAGAGAGAGCAAGCGAGCACAGGCAGACAGAATGGCAGGCAGAGGCAGAGGGAGAAGCAGGCTCCCCGCCGAGCAAGGAGCCCGATGTGGGACTCGATCCCAGGCTGCCGGGATCATGACCTGAGCCGAAGGCAGCCGCCCAACCAACTGAGCCACCCAGACGTCCCTTTGTTTTATTTTTAAAGAAGTATGCACTAAGAACTCCTGTTAAAGTAGATACAAAGATGGAAAATTCAGGTGTTTGTTGTACTCATCTGCACAGATCGGTGATCCCCTAGACCACCCTCGGATTCAGCCTTCAGTAAGTCTCAGAACGCCCTACAAGTTGCCCTCCAGGTTGCTAGTACTTAGAGTTACTGTTAATTACAGCAGCCAAGGGAAGAGGCACAAGGGGAGAATCCAGGAGAGTTCCACATGTGGAGGTCCTAGTTGTCTTCTCCCAGTGCAGCTGTGGATAGCACTGAATTCTCCTGGCGGCCGTGTGTGACAACATGCAAGTGTTGCCAGAGTCACCGCCAGGGGCGGGCGGAGTGAGTATGGCCGACCACCTCTGCGGCTGATCTTCGTTTTAGCTGATACTGCTTGACTCAGCATCCCTTCTATAAATCCGTTCGATAGCATAGACTGTCTGGTACAGCCCAAGGACCCCAGGTAAACAGAAGGACTGTTATCAGGCAGGACCTGCCAGAGGCTTAGGGATTACCTCCCACGAGACAAAGGCAGAGGCCTCTCTCTGGGCAAGATTAATTCTTTACCATTCATGTATCACTCCATTAATTTGAACTAATTTCTGTAATGTACCAAAAATTACATAATAATTTATCAGTAAATTTTACAGTTAGCCGAAAGCACAGAACTGGAGACCAGCTGTCTTGCAAAGGAATTTGTCACCCGTTCATTAGAGCCTAGTTAAATACCAATATGTGAAAGTGTCCCGTTGGCACCCCAGCAGTTTTACACCTTGGAACAGTGTGTACTATTGTTAAATTTCATGTGGGTGAGAAGGTGAGCCCTTTATAAGGTAGGAGAAGGGCAGTTCTGACAGGGGCAATGGGAAAGGAGGATAAGCTTTACACCTCCGCTTTAATGGGGCTCGGGCAAGTCAGCGTATAGTTCAACAACAGTTACTATGGCACCAAACAGGAAATAATAAAAAGTTAGGTTATCAGACTTGAATGTTCCTAAAGCTTATAAGCTCTGCCCCGTCTGTAACAGGGGATCTCTTACTGGCTCTCTCCGCCCAGCCTCTGGTCCGTGCATGTTGGACCTGTTCCCTCTAAGATCAAAATCCCTCTCTCTTTACAGAAGAGTCCCAAGACTCCTAAAGTCTGTCTCTCTCCATTCTCAGAAGAGCCAAAAATTAAGAAAATTAAGAAGTCATGAAAAGTGTACCTCTCGGGGCGCCTGGGTGGCTCAGTGGGTTAAAGCCTCTGCCTTCGGCTCGGGTCATGATCCCAGGGTCCTGGGATCGAGCCCCGCATCGGGCTCTCTGCTCAGCGGGAAGCCTGCTTCCTCCTCTCTCTGACTGCCTCTCTGCCTACTTGTGATCTCTGTCTGTCAAATAAATAAATAAAATCTTTAAAAAAATTTAAAAAAAAAAAAAAAGAAAGAAAAGTGTACCTCTCTGCACCCAGAGAAGACAAGCCTTTTTACTTTATGAAACAGAAAATTTAATTCCCAAGTGGTTTACTTTCTTTTTTTTCAGAGGAGGCTCTGTTTCTCAGACCTATATAACTAAACGCCCCATTTCTTCCATTCCCTGAACAAACGAATTTTTAAAATGCAGATGCTGAGCGCCTGGGTGGCTCAGTGGGTTAAAGCCTCTGCCTTTGGCTCGGGTCATGATCTGGGGGTCCTGGGATCAAGCCCCACATCGGGCTCTCTGCTCGGTGGGAAGCCTGCTTCCTCCTCTCTCTCCCTCTCTCTCTGCCTGCCTCTCTGCCTACTTGTGATCTCTATCTGTCAAATAAAATCTTCAAAAATAAAATAAAATGCAGATGCCAAAACAACTGCTAAAAGGTTAACTTTTTTGGTTCCTGCTACATATATATAAAGGGCTTAGTGTGATGCCCAGCAAGTACTCAATAAATTACTTTTTAAGTAGAAAAAGAGGTACAATCCAATGTGTCTCCTGATTACCCTGGCAATGGAAAATGGATTGTGTAAGGAGAGACTGGAAGCCTGGGGAGCAATTAGGAGACCTTTACAATACTCCACAGGTCCGGAAGATTTCAGCGTACAGCCCATTAAGTATTGGTTCCCCACGATGTGATACATAGGAATCAGAATACTAGCATTGTGTTTCTTAACTTTTTGTTGATGTACAGTGTACATGCAGAAAAATATCCACGAATGCACACAGCTTGCTGAATTATCAATGTTTTTGTGTTTTTCAGCTTATCAATAAGGTTGTATGATTTGGTTTTTTTCTCTTCCCAGATAATTTTTATGGTTGGACGAGGATATCTTTCTCCAGATCTCAGTAAGGTACGGAGTAACTGTCCAAAAGCCATGAAGAGATTGATGGCAGAGTGCCTAAAAAAGAAAAGAGATGAGAGGCCACTCTTTCCCCAAGTAAGAAGCAGCTTTATGTGTTACTTACGAGGACAGACTAATACTCAGATGCAGGTTTTTAAATAGTTTCTAGAGGACACAGTTTGTACTTTGTGGATTTGGATTCCACGTGATGATGTGCAGGCAGCAGATAAGTAATCACATAAAGATAATTATATAAAGGTTGAATGGTAGGATATCTAAAAACTCAGAACAAAATATTCAGAAAGACTTTACTTTTGTCTAGCCGTTCTCAAACATTTTGGTCTCATGCCCTTTTACACACTTAGAAGTTATTGAAGGCCCCCAAAGAGCTTTTGTTTCATATAAGTAATAATTGCCATTTTAGAAATTAAAACTGTTTTTAAAATACTTATAAGTTTATTTAAACATAATAAAATCATTACATGTTAACTTTTTTTTTAAAAAAGAACAGTATTTTCCCAGACAATAGAATTAGTGAAAAGAATGGCATTGTTTTACCTTTTTTGCAAATCTCTGCAAAAAGAAGACATCTGGATTCTCTGCATTCATTATGTTGCAGTGCAATATTTTACATCATTTAGCCTCTGAAAACTCCACTTAACACTTGTAAAATAATGACCATAAAAAAGGCAAGTAATACCTTAGTGTTACTCTGAAAATAGTTTTTCCACAGACTACACTTTGAGAACTGCGGCCTTAATTCTTCCTGGTGGTAAAACAAACAAATTCCAAGCATCCCTTTAATACCAGGTCTTTTGGAGGAGCCAAAAAGATCTTTATATTTTCTATAAAAAGAAAGGGCACCTGTTGGTACTGTCTACCTTTCTCTGATTCTTGGAAAATTACTATTGCTTTTTATCTTTTCATGGTATAAGGCCAAAGTCCTTAAGTTAACAATCTTTCATAAGCCTCAGGAACTGAAACTAAATACTGAACAAGCTTAGAAGGTTTGAATTCTATAGATACTATAATAGAAATTCAATTTTTTATGATGCTCATGAAGTTGTGGATAGCTCTACATAAATGGATCTTGATAAATCAGTACAGCTTGCAGGTGGGAAGAGCTGACTCTAGTAATTACTCAGCTACCATAATTACTGAGTTGGTCTTTTGTGGACCTTATTAATGCCTTTGAATACCCACTCCAAGCTGGCTCTTTTAGACAGAAGTCACTGCTACAGGAATGAGTGAATCTTTTATTCCTGTCCGAAGAATTAAAGATAGAATTTATAATTTTAACAAGTCTCTCATAGGCTTTCTCAGGGTGGGTAGATACATGTTTTACATATTGGAATTCTAAGTTACTACTACTTTGAGGAAGAGTAGTTTTTTTTTAACCCAGAAAACCACTGGCTTAAGACTATCAAATATCAGCAGGACCCTGTACCACATTCTCTTCTTTATAGTCCAGGTACTAGAGTTTCCTGTTTAACCTACGTGATGTACATTAATAACGCAAGTTATATCCAAAAGCCCACTCTTTTTTTTTTTTTTAAGATTTTATTTTTTTAAGTAATCTCTACACCCAATGTGGGGCTCAGACTTACAACCCTGAGATAAGAGTTGCATATTCTACTGACTGAGCCAGCCAGATGCCCCTATAGGCCCACTTTTTACGTGGTATTAAAGGGGTTAAAATGTTCATATTTCTAAATGTATGTAACATTTTATTCTTTGCATGGTGTCAGAAAATGAAATGCATATCTGAATTTTTGAGATTATTGAAGGCTACTCCTTTTAAGTATTATTTTTAATTTTTCATTATAAGATCTCTTTTCACACTGTATACACATTTCACATGCCAAACACAAATTTCAGATGGCTAAAGATTTATATGTAAAAAACTAAACTGAAAAATAGGAAGTCATTTTTACAACCTTGAGGTAAGAAAGGCTTTCCTAATAAGCAGAGACAAAATCCAGAAGTAATAAAGGAAAAGATAGTAAGTGTGACTACATTAAAAGTTTTTAAACTTTTAACTCTATATAATAAAAATAATATTGTAAGGTAAACACGAAAAATAATTGCAGCATGTATAACAAAATATAAATACTGATATTATCCTAAGGCCTCCTACAAATCAATAAGTAATAAAATAATAATAAATAGAAAATGAGCAAAGGAATGAACTGGTGATTCACAAAGAAATATAAATGCTGAATAAATTTAGGTTGTTTAAAGTTCTGTGACAGTCCATAAAATGCATAGTAACAGTGAAATACATTTTGATTTTTTCTCTCAGATTGGCAATGTCCAGCATTGCGAACAGCGTTGGGAAGTAAGGAAGAGCCCTCCTTATAAATTTTTTAACAGTGTTGTTGGGAATGTAAATTAGTTTGGCCTTTTGAAAGGACTTGGTAGAATTCCTAAACTTGAAATATATATACTTTTTGCTCTGGCAATTCCACTCCTAAAAATGTATGCTATAGAACCTGATTCCACAAGTGCTCAGATATAGATATATAGATATAGATATAGATATAGATATAGATATAGATATAGATATAGATATATATATTATAAAGACTTACCATAATAGGAAAAATTAAAGACATAAAGATCAGGATAGCTGTCTAGATGGCATGGATGTTAGTGAGGGGAAAGAAAAGCAACGCAGAAAAATATGTGTAGTATGATACCACTTTAAATGGTGATGAGGGTGGGGATGGGCTCTGTTTTCATATGTGCATGTTTATGCATAGGAAAGGTCCAGAAGAAAGTATAGACTCTTTAACAGTGGTTACCCCTGGAAGGTAGGACTTAAACTTTTTCTGTATTATTTGAATTTTTATTTGTGTGTTATGCTTGTAATTTAAAATGTTTTGTAACATTGCTTCTTTGCCTTATACTAATCATACAGATTACAGTTTAACTGTTTAAAAAGTTTTCATAGCTCAGAAAAATAATAATAGTAATGGCTGCTAAAGTTGTATTGAGTACTTAATATATGCCTGGCATTGTGCCAAGCCTTTTACATGTATGTCTCATGATTGTGAATGTCCATTATCATACTGTTTGCCTTCAAGAGTCATAACCCATTTCTCTGTACCTTAAACTATGCGGAGTTTCTACGTTTTGTGTACTGGTGTCTATTTGTAGTTTGCCTGTCTTCTCCACTCTTGGATTGTCACCTGTCACTTCTCACTCCTGTGTCACTAGCAGCCTGGGTCATTGGGGTCCTACTTTTAATTATGTATGTGGAAGACATTTCCCATTACTAAGTTTCTTAAAGAATGAGTTGCTCTGATGATTCTGTTGTGAAGTCATTAGTGCTTTACTGATAGACACTCCGTCTTCTTCCCCAAAAGCACTGTGGTCTGTGAGAGGCATTTCACTGGTTTAAATTTTTTTTACTATTTACTGTTCCAAGGCTGGCAAATGATCTCAAATGTAAACAAAAGCTAACTATAGGTTACTTTCCCCATTCATTTTACAGAGATTAAAGCTCTAAGAGTTTGATCGTTTACTTTTCTTTGTAAGGAAAAATACCAGTTATTCAGTATTTTTTTAGACATTTAGGATAATACCAAAGTGTAAGATTTCAGGTGCTTTCTTATAAAGTATGATGAGAATTTTAAAGATTAACACCACCTAGATTTTCATTCTACTTTCTTTTTCTCTTTTTTTTTTTTTTTCTTTTTTTCAGATTCTCGCCTCTATTGAGCTGCTGGCCCGCTCATTGCCAAAAATTCACCGCAGTGCATCAGAACCCTCCTTGAATCGGGCTGGCTTCCAAACAGAGGATTTTAGTCTATATGCTTGTGCTTCTCCAAAAACACCCATCCAGGCAGGGGGATATGGTGCGTTTCCTGTCCACTGAAAGAAATTAAATGAGTGTGCCAGTAGAGGGGAGTAGGGACCAAGGAAATGAAAATATGTTTGCTTATATATTTGCTAAATTGAATAAGATCTTTTTTTAAAAAAGATGAACCAAAGAATGTGTAGGTTTTTAAAAACTAGATACAATTATTTCCCAATCTAAAATGTAAACTTAGCATTGGATTTTCAACATCCGTGCATGTTATAAAACGCACGGACCTTGCTAAACATGTGCGGTCCCTCTTGCAGGGGGCTTACGTCCTGTTCCAGATTTGCTTACTGGCTTATTCTAATTTTTAAGCTTCATTTAAACTTTTCTCATGCATCTTTTGTTATTAGCTATCACATGTCCATCAGGGACTCCCAAGAGCAGCACATCCCTGTGCATGGACTTGCAGGTGGAAGGTGACAGTAGATTAGCCTGTGTTAGGCAAGGCAGGCCAAACAGATCTAATTGAAGAAGTCACTAGGGTTGAATAAGTCACTTTTATTCTAAATATTTTTTTTGTAACTTTTTATTATAATGTGGAATATATGGATGTCCTTTATTCCCTCGAAGCAATAGGCTGACTTTCTTTTTATAAGCTGTGGTTGCAGGTAACCAAGGTTACTGGTTACCTGAGGAGTGTCATGTTTGACATGAGTGATATGGTTGAACTTGAGGTTTTTAGTGGGCAAATGTTAAAAATCGAAGTTCCTTGTAAATAATACTTACCCATATATCAAGGATGTCTTACACACAAAGAAGTTGAATTTCTTCCAAATGAATTATTTCCTCCTCCCCTACAAAAGCTTCACAGAATTCTGTGAGAAGTTTTGGCTTTGTTTGTTTAGATATCTTTAGTTGCCAAACAACCAGGTAATGGACTTCTTAAAAATTATTATTACTTTAAATTATACTTACCTCTCATGATGCCTCTTTTAACAATCATGTTATCCGTGTGTCATAAAATTTCTGTGCTCCTTCTGTTCTTATTAGGAGTGAAGGCTAGTTTTCTTTTCTTTTTTTTTCTGGTTTTGTTTGTGTAGCCCACAGTATGAAATATTTGGTAGTGCTTTCTAATACTTAAATTTTCTTGTGTAGATGATTGTACTGTGGCAGTCAGTGTATTCTTACTGTGAGCCAGAATCTTACTGGGAATCAGAAATGAAAGAAGCAGTATGAGTGTCATCTCGTCGAAGAAATGACCATCTCCACTTCAAAGCTGGTAGCAAAAGCCCAGCCTCTTAGACACATTTTCACTCAGTTTGGAACTGTGGTGATTTTTAAATACAACTGACAGTTTGGGATTTTTCAGGCACACAGACATCTGTGTAAACCATCCTTAGAGCCAATAAAGAAGAAAATCGGGAAGACCTTAATGATAATTTAGTTTTTAAGTGCCACAGGTAAATTTCTAAAATACTTTATTAATTGGAATGGATGAGACTTCATCCAGGAAAACTTCTCAGTAGGAAGCATGGCATACCTTTCGCCCCTCATTTGAGTAGTTTGAAATAAGTAATGCCATTCGTGTTCTTCAAAATTGATTCGCGCCTTTCAATTAGGCAAGAGTAATGGAAAAGAACCCCTCTCGTGTTTTCAAAAATAAGAATGGGAAAGGCATGAAAAAATGGAACATATTGGAAAACATTAAAGTGCTGGATTTCTAAATCCTCTAGTGATATTAAAGATAGGATTATTAGTATTACTAAATAGGGTTTTATTTATCACGAACTGAATAGCAAGCGTGTAGCTAACAGAGTTCTTACATTGGTCTGTGGAATGCCGAAAGGTTTGGGCATTTTAAGGCACAAGAGTCAAAGGATCTTTTCCTTGATATAGCTCTTCTGTAGTTCCCCAGTGTACTCGTTTCACTCAGATTGTCCTTTCTGTGCTTACTCCTCTTTTTCGCCCCCCCCCACAACTCCCCACACTGACCACCGGCCAGCCCCCCACTATCTGCATTTGACTCCTTTCCTTCTCCTTTGCCAGAGGGCATTGCTGAGCTCTTAGAACTGCTCAGAAAGTTATTTATGCCATCTCACGTGTTCCAGTGTGCCTCCAGAGGATCACCTAGTAGTTTTCTGGCCAAACTGGGCCCACTGGAAGTGTTGGTGGAAGAACATGAACAGTCTGGCAGGGCGAGATGTTTAGGTAGCGCGGATGCGGAGAAGTAGGGAACATTAGAAGACGTATGGTAGTCTCCCTTTCTGTTGTTTTTTTATACTGCATTTTAGATATATTCTTCAAATAAAGAAAAACATTTTCTAACCGCATGTAGAGTTAACCTAACTAGATAATTGAAACAGAAGGACGTTCATTCTCTTGTGACTGACCACTTTTACTCCTAAAACGTCAGCCCCCAGATATTTTTATTAAAGTTGATTTCCTTTTTCAGCAGGAACCCTTTTTGTAAAATTTGTTTTACATTTTAGAATTTTTACTGGTCAGTGATGAGGACTACGATTTTTCTCTTGATTTTAAGTAGTTCGGAATCACAGCATTTAATCAAATGCTTTAGGTTTTTTATTTTCAGATATTAAATATTGTACTAGTCATTGACATACTAAACCATTAGTTAAATTTTCCTCTTTAAATAGTGACCATTTAACACAGCAGCTTAAATGGCTGTCTCAAGTGAGTCCCTCAATTTAAGGAAATGGGCTGCTTTTTTTTTAATACTATGAAATGGGTACTTCATGACTAAAACATTTTGTCAGTTACAGTCTTATTAGATTGAGAATTATTAAGCATTTCTAGAGCACTTTTTTTAAAGATTTTATTTATTTATTTGACAGAGATCACAAGTAGGCAGAGAAGCAGGCAGAGAGAGAGAGGAGGAAGCAGGCTCCCCTCTGAGCAGAGAGCCCGATGCGGGGCTCGATCCCAGGACCCCGGGATCATGACCTGAGCCGAAGGCATAGGCTTTAACCTACTGAGCCACCCAGGTGCCCCTCTAGAGCACTTTTTAAATTTTACTCAATATTTCATCTCTCCTATGGTAATTTCTCTTAAGAATTTAACAAATCCAGTGTGTCTGTGCCAGAATGTTTATCATACTTTTGAAACTTCCTGAAAGGACACCACAAAGAAAGAATGAGACTTACTCTGGTTTCAAATGACTGCCCCCCACATCTAAAATGGTGGTTGATTTCTGTGCAAATCGATTTTTCATAGCATATTTTATCTTTAAGAGGTATGTAGCAAATTATATGTATTAACAGCCACTGAAATACGTTCAATCTGGGACTAAAAGATAATTATGTAGTATCTTAAAACTAGTTAATAAAATCCTTAGCTTTCAAATAAACAGATCTTGATATTTGAGGTATCTAAAATCACAGGCCCTTCCCACATGTCCTCTACCTTAATCTTAAATAAAGTCAAATGAAAAATAGAACTTAGGTTATTCTCAACGAGGCAAGTAAAAAAAAAAAAAAGTTTCACTTTGGCCTTTGATTTTTCAGGCAGTAATTAAATTAGTAACACCGAGATTTCCGAAGTCACGCAGGGTTCTGGATGTTCCACCTCAAATAAAATTGGGTAGGAGGCGGCGTGATAATAGATAATTTTCAGACATGCAAGAAGGAATATGCTTTTTTCCCCAAAAGCAGATCCATTACCTATTATCCCCATCTTTACTTAAATTTCTCCATGATTTCAGGGACATATATAGAAAGAGTTTAATTTTATTGATCTATAAACTTTTGAGTTCTTTTTGTCTTTTTTTACTCCTGGACCTTCAGTCTGTTTAGGAAGTAAGAACTGCTTTCCTTTAGAAGCAGTAGACAATGGTAGGGTGATCTTCAGGGTTGGCTTTATTGGTGTCTGATTTGGGGTTTCTTGGTAAGAGTTTATACTCTGGGAGGTTGTTTTGTGATTTTTTTTTTTTTTTAAGGCTAACATTTAAGTTTGTAGAGTAGAACACTACAACAAAATGAGGAGTGTCTAATTATCATAACTAGTGGGGAACATCTTTTAGATGTTTTTTTTAAGATTTTTTTAAAGTTATTTTTTCGTGTGGTATATGAGATTTAACATAGAATTTTATCATTTTTGATATTCTCAGTTAATAGATTATTAAGATTTTGATATTCTCACTTAACAGAATAGCCATTTTTTTTAATTAAAGATTTTTTTTTAAATTTATTTGACAGACAGAGATTACAAGCAGGCAGAGAGGCAGGCAGAGGGAGAGAGAGGAGAAAGCAGGCTCCCTGCTGAGCAGAGAGCCCCATGCGGGGCTCGATCCCAGGACTCTGGGATCATGACCTGAGCCGAAGGCAGAGGCTTTAACCCACTGAGCCACCCAGGCGCCCCCAGAATAGCCATTTTTTAAAATAAAGATTTCTCAGTAAATCCTATTTTCACATTGGCTTCCTTTAATGAGATTTAGATTCTGTGAGATTCAGTGATTGCTAATTAGAATGTTGAAAATTGCTCTAAAGAAATGTATTAAAATAGTGGAAAAAATAACAACCTTCAAACCATAAGCAAAGGTAGTATAAATGTTTATAGATTTCTAGAGTCTTTGTTAACATAATAGCCCTCTGTGGTTTTGTGCTTCATGTTTGGCTCTCCGAGGTCTTAGTAATGTGGCTTTTTTCCATCAATGCCATACTCCCTTCACAGTCTTTTTAATTTTTAAACATGAGAATAATTCTTTTACCCTTCTTTGATCTTTTGACTCACAATACCATGGTTACTTGCTTAGTAGAAGGAATGCTTTAGATAGAGAGAGATAGTATCACTATCTGCAGTCCGGTTAGTAGTAATATCCGGAATGGGAAAACAAATGGGTAATTACTGAAAATTATTTAGGGGTGTATTCATTGTTGAGGACCCCCCACCCCTGAACTTGCATTTTAACGGTGTCATTTTCTAGCTGTGAGATATCAGGCAAATTACCTCACCATTCTAAACCCCCAGCTTGCTCCTCCATAAATTAAGAGAAGTAATAGTACCTGCCTTACGGTTACTATGAGGCTTAGATGCGAACATATATAAAGCACTCAGGGAGGCACCTGGCGTGTAGCAGGCATTCAGATAGTCACTAATATAATCAGCCTGTGATCTGAGGGCTCAGTCAGCCTGTCATTTGCAATCTGTTGTTTGTTGGGACACACCAGTGTCCTCTAGTAGTCAGTTGGACTCCACTGGCAGAGAATGGACAGGTCACTCCTAGATGAAAGAGTCTGTTCGTGTCAGTGACTGGACCCACATCACAGGCTCTCATTACGGAAAATGAATGTTAAGGCCGGCTACATTCTGATAGTTGTCGGTGACCAACCAACCCCCAGAAATCAGCTAGAGTGCATGTAAGGGGAGGAACCAGCCTATAGTCACAAGTAGAAGATGTGAACAAAATGCTGGGTGAAACATAATAGCACAAAGCCCTCAAATTCAGGAAAGTTCAACGACACATACCCCCATGTAATTGTTAGGTGGTTTGAAAGGGGAAATGAACTAGAAAATGGATAGTCTAGATTTTCTTTCCTTCAGTCACATGTGTGATGTGGACAAATCATTTGACCTCTTAATTTTATTTTCTGCAAATAGGGGATAATTCCTGCTTCTTCCTTTCTATTAGTGGCATTAAATAATGGAAATGAGTTGATAACTGGGGGTAGAGTATTCAAATCAACCTTACTATTTTACAATCTGTTTTTGAGAAATTTTGTTCATTGGAATGGTTTTCAGCATAGCATGTAAAATCCAACTGGGAAATTACCTGCAGACTCGATATTTAATTGATAGAACTGAAGCATATTCTACATATTATAAATTATGTATTTCAGCCATTTTTGCTTTTAAATTAGTGATGGTATCACTAGATTTGTAATAATAGCGAGTCACCTTTCAGTGAGATTTCAGTGAGGCTTATCTAGGTCTCTAGGTTATTTGAGATAACTTTTTTAAAATTAGCTCTTGTCCTCCCCCTACAGGAGAATTTGCAGCCTTCAAGTAGCCACACCATCATGGCAACATCTACTCTTATTTCTTAAGTCTTGTGTTCGTACAATTTGTTAACATCAAAACACAGTTCTGTTCCTCAAATCTTTTTTTAAAGATACAGAATTTTCAATGCATAAGCTGGTGTGGAACAGAATGGAATTTCCCATCCACCAAAAGAGGGAAGAATGTTTTAGGAACCAGAATTCTCTGCTGCCAGTGTTTCTTCTTCAACACAAATACCACGTGCATACAAGTCTGCCCACTCCCAGGAAGGAAGAGGAGAGAGCCTGAGTTCTGACCTTTTGATGGTCAGGCATGATGGAAAGAAACTGCTGCTACAGCTTGGGAGATTGGCTGTGGAGAGCCTGCCAGTCAGCTCTGGCCTTCTAACCGCCACATCAGTGTGCGGCTGGTCACCTGACGGGGCGGCTGCAATCGCCAAGCATCGTTCTCTTTCCTGTTCTGGGATTTTGTCGCGGAGCTCTTTTCCCTAGTCACCACCGGTTCATTTCTGAGGGATGGAACAAAAATGCAGCATGGCCTTTCTGTGTGGTGCATGTCCAGTCTTTGACCAATTTCTATCAAGTGAAGCTCTTTTATTTAAATGGAGAATGAGGCAAGGAGGAGATACGATTTGGTGTAGAGGAAAAGGGAATGCTGCATCTTTTTCCTGACCTACTGGGTTTCTGGCCTTTGTTTCCTTGCTCACTGAGGGTGTCTGCCTAACCAAGCAGGCTGGAAAGTGCTGGCACACATTGCCTTCCTTTCTCACTGGGTCCAGCAATGAAGACAAGTGTTGGGGATTTTTTTTTTCCTCCACAATGTAGCAAGTTCTCAGGAAAATACAGTTGATATCTTCCTCCTAAGCTCTTCCAGTCTTCAAGTACTTACGTGGCTACTTTGTCCAGGGCACAAAATGCCATGGCAGTATCTGATTCAGAGCCTACAAAACTGCTTGATAACAGTTTTGAATGTGTGAGACATTTATGTAATTTAAATGTAAGGTACAAGTCTTAATTTCTGAGTTTTCTTCTATTATATTTTTATTAAAAAGAAAATAATTTTCAGATTTAATTGAATTGGAATAAAAGAATACTTCCCACCAGAATTATATATCCTGGAAAATTGTATTTTTGTTATATAAACAACTTTTAAAGAAAGATCGTTATCCTTTTCTCTACCTAAATATGGGGAGTCTTAGCATAATGACAGATATTTATAATTTTTAAATTAATGGTACTTGCTGGATCCACACTAACATCTTTGCTAATATCTCATGTTTTCCTCCAACTTCCTCTACACTACATCCTCCATCCTCTTTCCAGTCTTTTATCTAGAATATGCAACCTAAAATAAAAATGGTGGTGTCTCCATTCATTCTCCTTCTTCCTTTTTTCCCAAGCCTGGTCTTCAAAAGGTTGGGTAATTTGGCAGCTGAGTTCCCCAGGTAGAGAATAGAGCAATTTTAGGTGTATTGGGACCGAGGGATGGTGTGTGAAGCCTAATGTCAGTTGTTTGTATAGAGAGAGTTGCTGTGGTATTAGAAACATCATTCTTTATCTTTGCATAAGTTGAAGATAGAACCCAGTCGTAGCTTCCTTTGGCCTTTACTAAAGGGTGGCACAAAGTGACTCTGGACGTATTAATGACAAATACCTCCCTTATCATGAGGCTTAGCATCTCTTGCCAGGATTTAGGAATGTAAATCAAATCAAATGTACTTAGCCCAACCAAGCTATGTAGCCAAGACTATAAAGAAATTAGGGCCCATAAAATAAATCAGGGAATTAGAAGCTGTTATTTAAATATTTCAAATTGTAATTGATCCCACTGTCTGTCAGCCTCTTACGCTCCTTGCCATTCCATGCTTTTTGCTAAAATAACTGTATTCAGAGGAAGGCCTACTGAAAATTCCAAAGCCCTGGGAAAGGTTGTCCTCGTAAAATGGAAAATACCCTGAAGTTAATGAGTTTGAAAACCAGTGTGTTCTGAAGTCCCGTGTGAGCAGAGCAGCGTCTTACAAAATTCAGAAATTGCGAAGATTCATGCTGATTGAAGAGCATCTTGTGTGCTTAATGCTGCTTCTCTTTTAAAAGCATCATTTTTCTTTTTAAATACATCCCCAGACATGCTTTTCAACTGGCTTTTGTGTTCCCCTGGAGATCGGAGAGAGCTCGGTCTGAGCGGGAGGCAGATCCTGCAGGGTAGGCGGCGCCTGCCGTTGGGCTGGTAGCTTGGCTGCAGGACGACCTCTGGGGCCGCCTGGGGCGGGGTGGAGGGGGCAGGAGGCCGCACGGGTGCCAGTGATGGAGGAGGCTTAGCGCCAGAAGGGCCACACACTGTCCCCTTCCGGCCTCTTTAGGTTGCTGTCTCACTTGAAAAGGGGGAACGGACTTGGTCTCAAATGAAGCTGTGCCCAGTCAGAAGCCAGGCTCAGGGTCTTCTTGGGAGATTTTTATAGAGCCCTTAAAAAATAAAAAATAAAAATCTTGTATTTCTCATCCCTTTTTTCCATTAAATAGTTTTTTCTCTAGTTTACAATGACATGATCAAGCGGTTTCCTCTTACTTTTTGATGCTTAGACTACAGATAGACTTGAGCTCCTAGAAGGTACAAGGAAGAACTCCTTGTTTGTGCAAAGCACTTTATGAATAATTTGTACAGATAGTGTGCGGCTGCTTCACGGACAATCCTGTAAGGTTGGAGTTCCCTGTCTTTTCCTTAAAGTGGCTGCAGTGCCTTCTATAGTGTATTTTCTTTTGGGTAAGAAGAGGTGAAGCCTTCTGAAAAATTTGAGAGCAGACGTAAAAGATTGTCTCAAATTATGTAGTATTCCCAGTGGGCTTTTTTGTCATCACACTAGAGTTTACGGTCTAGTACTTTTGCCACTGAAATAACATGGACCAAAAAGTAGTTTATAAAAGAGATTGTGAATAGAAAATCCAGTGTGCTCATTTGTACTTCTATGCACCTTAAAAGAAGATTCTGTCTAGCTGTCAAATTCTGGTTCCTGAACATCCAGTCCCCGCTTGCACTTAACAATCTTGGAGGATATACTGGGGCAGCCTAAAAGATAAAATGCCATATAACATACATGTTATATGTTATATGTATGTTGGTATTGGGACAGAAAGAGCATTACACAGTTATAAAGAGGCAATCAGAACTTCAGCACTGTCCACCGGAAACTCTGTAAATACTTCCCAGATTCTCCTCCGGTGTGGTCCTAGCTCTCTCGGCACCTGGTGTTCTCTCTCAGCAGCCAGTGCAGAAGCTGCTGCCCCTGCTCCCAGGACCTCACCTACCCCTCCTGCGCACTCGCTCCCCAGCCTTGTGCCAACCCCATCTGGCTTTAGTTGGAAGCACATTGCAGGGTTCAGGTGACCTCTTCAAAATACTACCTCCTCAGAATGAGGTAATGAATAGTTATTTATTTTAAAATAGGAAAAGTAAGGAGCACTAGGACATGAAGATGATTTAAGAGGTTAACTTTGATGTGTGCTTGCACTTGAGCCCTCTTATTTTGTCTTAAAGGGCATCATGCATTTCAGCAGCAGAACCGAAAGAGGTAGCTCAGAGTTTCGGAATGTTGCTGCAGGTCGCGCCGGCATCGGTTTCGGGGTTCATTTCAGAATCTTCACCTTAACGTCAGCAGCATGAAATTAAGTAGTTACGGTAACAGTTCACTAACCGTGATAGAACTTTAGTCTTCAGTGGGCTTGGCAGGACCATCTTCATGATGACTTAGTCGTAGCTCCATCACGTGCACAGACACTCCTGTCGAGAGCCTGCCCAGCTAAAAGGGTAGAATGGTTCCACGTGATTCTCTTCTTTGTCCAAGTTGGCATTGTTAGCGCTAGAAAATCAGCACCTTGGGACCAGCGGATTCCAACCATTAGGCTATTAAAAAAAAAAAAGTAACCTGACATGGAAAGTTTACTGTGAGCGTAAACAGCACATCGCTTACAGGTCCTACATTGACATGTTTAGGTGAGGCTCTAGAAGAATACCTTGACAATTTGCCAAATGATCTTTACTGTGCCTTCAAGATGCAATAAAAAAAAAAAAAAAAAGTTAAATTTAAGCAGAAATCCGTGATTTGCAAAGAGAGCAGCCACTCTGGTCCAATCTGTGTTAATATTTTTTAGAGTGCAATTTAGACTGCAGAGACAAATGCACTAAAGGGTTTATAGCCAAAATCACATTTAAAAAAATGAGAAAACACACAAGTAAATTTTCAGTGAACAAAATTATTTTTTTAAAGCACACAATCCCTAGTAGAGTCAGATATATTTATCACATAGAGCAACTAGGTTGAAAATTACAGTTCAGTGACATTTCTAGAGAAACTTTTTCTACTCCAATAGGTTCTTCAAAGCATGGAACTTTTATATAACAGAAATGTTTGACAGACATTTTAAAGAATTGCTGTAGTTTGGGGGTTCAGAAGTACTGTATGCTGGACAGCAAATACTTCTTAAGAGTGAGAAGGAAGAAACTAATGTAGAGGACAGAATTGGATTTTATCAGTTTCAAGAGTACTGCTGCGAACCTCAACAGTGACGTTTCAGAGTCTAAAATGTAAACTTGCCTCCCAGGACGTGTTTACAAAATAAGTGGGACCGTCCTAATGCTGTTCAGGGTGCTCTGGAGACCAGACGGGGTCTCTGGGGCCCCCTTTGGAGGGGGCGTTGGAATAGTTAATGACGTGGCCGGTGGGTGTGACCTGGACACACTCCATGGTGTGCTTTTTGTATCTCGTTGGCATTTCTTGCCACCCCGGGGAAGGGCAGTGTACTGTCTTCAGCAAGTTCTCTACATGTTTTTCTGCATTGTATTGCTGACGCCCGTAGGTTGGTGAGCACCCTAGGAGGACAGTGGCATCTCCGCCTGATTCATATATTGGCCAGAGGAGAATGAAGGGGCCAGTGTATTGCTAGCTCTGGTAGAATTGAAAACACTGGTAAGATTTTTGTTTCATCAGCACACTAGAGAGTAAGCTCTTTGTTGTTTTCAGATAGCTTATTTTCACTTCTGTTCAGGCAAAGACAATGAAGTTGAAATTTAGTCCCAAATTATGCCAGTGGTGGAAAGGGTAATTAATGGTTTCTATCAGGATTTTTAAGGTAAAGGAGGACAGAATCGTTAAGTCTTAAAATCTTAAGATTTTATCTTAAGATCTTAAATCTTAAAAAGTAAGGTTAACAGTGCTTTAACATGCATACGGATGGTTCGTCCTCACCTCAAAGTGATTACGTAGATCTTTTATTTCAACATCCACAACTCAAGCTGTTAATTTTTAGTCCTTTTTTAATTTAATTTTTTTTACCCTTTGACTCCCTTTATCCAACTGTTAGTTTTAATTACTAAATTAGTTTTCTTAAAATGTTTAATTTTATTAAAATATATAATTTTATTTAACAAAATTCTGTTTTGACTAATTACAGTGATATAACCAGTTGTGTGTGAGGACACAGCCAGTGTATCTGTGTGTGTGTGTGTGTGTGTGTGTGTGTGTGTGTGTGTGTGTGTGTGT